TTTGATGCTACCTGTGCCTGTGAGTTCCATAGGTTAATTATACATGGGGGGGGGAAATCATTTTATCCATTTTAAATGTTTTGCCTCTCAGTTTCATTCAATATCCTCTTGTTCTTGAAAAGTGGTGAATAGCAGTGCCCTGTCTACCACCTCTGCACCATTTGTTAGTTTATTATGTCCCACCCCATTGTTCTTCTCCACTCTAGAGTCATAGAATCATAGAATATCAGGGTTGGAAGGGACCTCCAACCACCTGCTCAGCCTAGATCCATCCTCATTTCAGTCTGTCAGTGTATGGAAGTTTTGAATTGCCTCTGTTCATGCTGCCTCTCTCTGAACCCCCTCAGTTTCTGCTATTTTCTTTTGGGGAATAAGTTGACCAGAATGGATTGCAGTATTCCAAGTGGAAGCATGTTAATGATATTATAATATGTTCTGCTTTATTTTCCATGCTATTAATTATGCATTTTAACATTTTGCCTGCTTTTTTTTAACCATTGTGGCAGTTTCCAGAGGCTGTCCACAGTAAAAAAGGTGGATAATCATGCATTTAATGCAGACACATAAATCCCATTGCAGTTGCGTGTACACAGAAAAAGGAAAAGGCACCAGTAAATTTAGTGCTTGATTCTACTCCCATTGAACTCAGTGGGAGTCAGATCAAACCATCTAATTGCCATGCGTTATGTTAGAGTTGAAATGTACAGTACTACTTTATAAAGTAAGCATAAAATAGTGTAGAATTAATGTCCATAAAACGTTGTTTCACAAATAATTCTTATCATGTACTGATTAATTCAAAGGAATCTGGTTATTTTAGACATTTCTCTTCTAAAGTAAAAAAATTGAAAATATTGTAATGGTATTTTATAAAATCATCTAATATCTCTGTAACCTGGGATATGGAGTAACGTAAAGACATTTCTTTTTGATGGATAGCGAAAGTTCAAAAGCTTTTTCTTAATTTATAAGCTACTTACACAGAAGTCTTCCATGTGCTGCTTCAGTTATGTTTTATCTTGATTATGGTTGACATTTTCAGGGTACAAGGCACTGTAGTGAAGAGGATAATTTTAAATTCTCTATGAGGTGCTGCAGTTTGGCTCTAAATTATATGGAAGTTACTTTAACGTAAAAATGCTGTATTCGTTTTCCATTGCAGCTCTCTGGTGCAGTGTGCACACTGATTAGTGTAGCAAAGCTCTGAAAGATGCAAAAAGTGAAGAAATATAAGCATCACTGTGCAAAAAGATTGCTACTCGGCTTTGTTTACTTTTCCTGTAGATTTGTTTAAAGGTAAATAACATACAAAGTATGAAAACCACGAGGAGTCCGGTGGCACCTTAAAGACTAACACATTTATTTAACAGATGTTTTTATTTATTTATTAGTCTTTAAGGTGCCACCGGACTCCTCGTTGTTTTTATGGCTACAGACTAACAGGGCTACCCCCTGATACTTGATACAAAGTATGGCAAGCCCTTCTGTTTACTGTGAAACTCTGAGCAAGGAACATGTTGCATCACTTGAATAATTCCTTCTAATCCGGATGTTTGATTGGATGATCTTTGCAGAAAAGAGTAATAAATCTCAGCTAGGGAAGACTAAATAGAATCCTCCTATACAGTGACAAGGTCCCCAGAATATACTGTGTTCATTACTATTCATCATATCATAGAAAGGAGGATGTTGTCTGGGAAAAGCTCCCATTAACTTCAGTGAGAGTTGGGGTGGGCCTAACAGTCAAAATCTAAGGCCAAAATTTTCAAACATGGGTGTCTAAATCAATAGCTCCTCCTGTATGTATAAGAGCTGGGAGTCTGGGGGACCCCCCATGCTCTCCTGTCACTGGGAAGAGAAGGTGTTGGCAAAGTGCCCAGAGGCCAGCTATAATCTGTCCTTTTCCCTTTTGGGAGGCTCTTCTGTTCAGAAGTGTCTTCATCTAGGTTTGGATATAACCTAGTGCAATGTGAATGCTACCACAATCTATATAAATAACCATAATACTAACCACTAATGGTGCACTGCCCCATGTCTTTGCTACTTACAACATCACCAAAACCCCAGACAACTATGAATGTGGCTATCCATCTTAGGTACTTATGTGGCCCCTATTACCTTAGTATCTGAGCATCTCACAGTCTTTAATGCATTTATCCTCACAACACTCCTGTGAGGTAGGGAAGGCCTGTTATCCCCATTTTACAGATGGGGAACTGAGGCACAAAGAGAGCGACTTCCCTGAGGTCGCACTGGAAGTCTGTGGTGGAGCAGGGAATTGAATCCATGTGTCTCAAGTCCTAGGCTAGTAGCATAACTACCGGACTGTCCTGCCTCTCTTACAGCAGAGATTGGGAGTTGCTAGAAGCTGACGTATCCTGGAGAGAGCTAGGCCTATTGTGGAGAGCAATATAATTTTGTTAAGAACCACTCCTACACACAAGGGAATTGTGGAGCAGATTGAGTGAAGGAAGGGAATTTGTACAACACCCACAACGTACCCTGCCCTGGACCCCCCACCTCTGCCACTGGGACTGCAGAACCTACAGGAGTTCCCACACCCCTGAAGCTGATATAAATGCTGTGCAACACCATTTTTCATTATTAATATTCCTCAGGTTGCAGTAGCACCCATGATGTGCTAGTTATTTGAGAGACAGGTGAAGACACAGACCTCCTGCCCACACACACGCACGGTGGCCACAATTTGCTCTCTTTAATGCAAATTAGCTGTAGTCCTTTGGGCTCCTTGCTAGTTTACATTGTGTCTGAGCAAAGTTTGGGCACCTCTGGGCTTGACTCTGTAAGTCAAGAGTAGCTCCATTGAAGTCAGTGAATGGATTTATACCGATGGCGATGTGATCATAATCAGGTACCCTGGTTTTATGTGGCTTAGAGTTTGATTTGTATTCAGTTTTCATGACCACAGCAATCACTTTGATTTTTTTTTTAATTTCATCCATGAGGGAGAGTGCTGGTTTTAGAAGTGTAAAAGAAAAATCCAGTATTCTTCTTGCAATATGTTATTCTGCTTAGTCCTGACTTTTTGTGTGCATCTAAACTTCAGCATATGCAAAATTGTTAGTTAATATAACAGTCTGTGCTCAGTACCTCTCATTTGTTTTATCTGCATACTAAAAATAAAAAAAAAAGCCAGGAGAGAGAGGAGAATTTAATATCTGTCGCAGAATATTTTTACTTTCAGAATATATTAATTGGATGCAGCTCTTTTTAGCTCAAAAGCTCATGTAGGCTGCAAAAGAATAAAACAAATTACAATTTTAGTTCTACTTTTTACCCCAGGCAAACTCACCATAACAGCTGCTGAAATTAAATTAGGATCTATACTTGCTTTTGGCAGCTTTCCAACTCATCTCTAGTTGAAACACTACTGTAATAGGATGTGAAACATGAATTGAAAGCAAATATTTTTTCCAGTTCTACCTTTCCATAAGTACAATGTAAGAAATTGCATTTTTGTATCATGGAAAAGATACTTAACATTTGCTCCAATATCATTAAATTTATAAAAATCCCATCCTTAAACGTCCATTAAATGTCATTAACAATTTGTCTTTCCCACTAAATCGCTTTGGTGATACTCTTGTGCCTTGCATCTCTGCAGCCTGGTAGAATGAAGTTTAATAGTATTTTTCAAAGCAAGAGTGTTATTTTTAAAAGGATGAAACTTGTTACAGAGAAAACAAAAAGAAGCCCCATAACATCCCTTTATTGCATGTGACAGTGATACAGGAAACAGAGTGTTTAGCCAGCGATAAGGACAAAGATTGAGGCCAAGGACCAAGATTTTCAAGAATGGGTGCCTACAGTTTTGCTCTCATGTCCATATTTAAATACCTAAATCAGTGGCCTAATTTTCAGAAGGGCCCAGCACTCATCAGGTTCTGTTGACGTAAGTAGAATCTGTACTTTGAAAACCAGGATACTTAGTTAGGAGCCTACCTGCAGGCACCATTTTGGCAAGTCTGGCTTGAATTCTTGACTGTTCATAAATCAACGCTGCAAACCTTTACTCATGCCAGTAGTCTTTACTCAGGCAGATGCTCCCACTGACTGAGTAGTGCTGCTTGTGTGAGTAAAGGTTTCCAGGGTCAGGCCTTTTGGTCCTGACCAGTCACTGTCATTACAGGAGGACAGACTAGATGATCACAGTGGTCCATTCTGGCCTTGGAATCTATGAATTAAGGATCCCCTGTCACCTTTCTCAAGAGTATGCATATTAATGTTCATATCCTGGCCAAATTTCAGTCTGGGTAATTACCTTCTAACAACCTAAAATTACCCGGTAATTTCAATAGGATGTGGCAGGAGATTTCGCAGCCCTTTCAACGTGGGCCACATGTTAATAGAGAGATTGTCTTGTGGGCCACCTTCCAATCCACTAGTAAACATACAGCGCACTTCCCCTCCTATTCAGGAGGACATGTCATTCTTGTAGCATCTACAGCCAGACCTTGCATTGAAATCATTATTTTAAAAGTATTTAATACACCATCAGCTATCTTTTAAGGAAACACATTCATCTGCAAACATGGAGAACCAGCCTTCTATGCCCAGTCAGGTCTCCACACTGCAAACATTCTGCAGTCCACCAGTGGTCTATGCACCATGTTTCAGAAACTACTGGGAGGATATGGTATTTTTAACTTCTTGACCGTAAGCTGCAGATCATTGCTGTTTAACTGCCATAATTCAATATCTAAAGCGATGACAATATTTTAGTAATGAGTGAAGAAATACTTGTTTGTCAGGCCAGACCCTCAACGGGTTCTGTTAAAGTCAGTGGAACTATACTAACTTAAATCAGCTGAGGAGCTTGCAGTATAGTTGATAAAAGGCGTTGGGGTCCTTTTTGTTAAAAGTTGCTGTAGAAATGTGATCGATCACCATGTACTGCTGATGGTTGTGAAAGCAATGCACTATTTTATAATGAACTCCCTGCTTAACCATGTTCTCTTTTCCTTTTCCCTTCAAATTAGATATTTATCTTTGAGAATAACATCTATTACTGTGCTCATGTGGGGAAACAAGCCATCCGAGTGGTCTCCACTGGAAAGGAAGGTGTTATCTTCAATGGCCTCAACGACTGGCTGTATGAAGGTAGGACACAATATTGAAGGCTGCAGTTAGTTATGAGTTTAAGCTCTAGATTTGCAGTACGGGGTAAAATTAGAAGTGAAACATTTGAGTTCTCAGGACTATGGCCCATTAGTTGGAAATTCAGCTGTTCCAACACTTATCTTAAGTGCTGAACTGGGAATAATGTGAGAGGATGTAAGAATTGTATTTTCCAGGGCTTCCCCCCTGCTTCAAGGGTGATAAATCACAGGGTGTTAATGAACAGAACTGTTTCATTATGTAATGGCACCTGCAATAACTCAAGGTTTCCATCAGAAGTGCTTATTTTTTAATCACAGTAAGTGGCAGATGTGTGTGTGGGGAAGGGGTTGGGGGGCTAAGGGTGAGAAGTTAACAAAAAAACTGCTCTGATTTAAACTTCTAGAACCAGGTGCTCTGGCCCTTTTGTACCGGGCAGGTAGCTAGACCAGGTAGCACAAAGAAGCTGGAAGCTGTGCAGAACTCGGTAGCTGAGAATTTCCCTGGCATGGGGAAGTCCTCAGCTGGCACAGAACCAGTGCAGTTGACTCCTACTCCACATAATGGTCCCGTAAGGGCAGGAGGGCCATAGCTAATACAATGTTGTGCACCTGCTATTCTCAGCTGGCAGATGTCCCCTTGTGTGCCACTGCTAGGTGGCATAGTGTAGAGCAGCCCCTAGGCTATTCTACACTGTGTCAAAGCTAAGGCTGGTAAGGAACTGGCCTCAAGAACCAGAAAACTAAAACCAGCCCTTTTGCAGTCATCACTCCCAAAGACTCAAGGCCCTCAATTATTCACACACATCAGTGGAAGTGTTTGCTACTCATTTGTCATTGTTTTTGATGTTTAAATGTACGTTGAAGCTGAAATACTTATGCATCACAGAATACTAAATATTTTCCCTGTAATGAGACAAGGTGGGTGAGGTAATAGCTTTTATTGTCCCAAATTCTGTTGGTGAGAGAGACAAGCTTCCGAGCTTTCACTGAGCTCTGTGTCTCTCTAATACCTGAAGATAAACATGGCTACAACGACACAGCATACAACATTTTCCCTGTAAAGCATTTTGCAGTTAGTTGGAGTGGCTGATGGGATGTTGCGAAATGCTAATTTAATCTAATTTTTGCTAAAGAGATGAGGTTTCCTTGTTGTGACTCTGTAGGTCAAGTGTACATGTCAGTATCTCTGTTTTGCTGATAAACAGCATTTAGTACATAAGGTCTTCTCAGAGTGTGCTGCACACAGGGCATAATGCTGACAGAAAGAGTTTATCATGTCAGTGAACTGCAAGTGATCAAGCTAGTACACAGTGATGTACTAACGTTGTGTTATGCTGAAATACATTTTTATTCAATTACTGGATTGCTCAGTTTATTTCTTAGATGACATTGACTTTCAGTTTTGTCCTTTGTAAAAAAATGTCTTGTTAAAGCCGTGTTAATTTACTGATTAAAATAAGTGATTCTGTGATCAAATACAATGTAAATATACAGGGTCTGATTCTACAACCCTTACACTGAATAGCACTTACAAAATAAGTAACCCCATTGAAAGTGCTGCTCAGTGTGAGTAAGTATCCATTTATTTCTTGGTAATTTCATTGTTATACGATGATCATACTTAAGCCTTTTGTATGTGGCTGAAAACAGTTTACATTTGAATAATAGAGTGACCAGTCCCCACAAGAAGGGTAGAGAAGTGTCCAAAGCAAAAGCCCAGATACAAACACCCCCTGAGTTTTGAGGTGGAGTTCAGAATCAGAGTTTTGCAGGCTGGACCTGTCTCTCTGGCCTAGCTCATAGGCCCCACACTCCTCAGGGAATTGTCAGCAGGAGAACCAGGGAACAGAGAGCTCTGTAAACCTTTGGAGCTCTGCGTGGCCTCTAGTTCCCAGCTGGTCTCCATAAGTGAGCTCCCTTCCACATCGCAGCATCCCCCAGGCTTCCTAACTTGATTCCCAGTCTTCCCATGAGCCTGATGTGGTCTCCACTGGGTTCTACAGATTTAAAAAGTCTGTAGGAGGCAACGGTTGGACTGGAAGTAGGAATCAAGATATTGATTGCTGGGGAGCAGAGAACTGTTGACTGGGTGAAACCAAATGGACAGTAAGCAAGCAGGAGGGCTACAGGATTTGGTGTGGCCAAGGCCAGGCTGTGGAGCTCAGGAGCCCTGTAGGCACACTGAATTTGGGGTCGGTGGGAAGTCCAGAGGAACTTAGGAGCTCAGTAGTGCTAAAGGAATCACCAGGACCAGTGGAAGTTGGAGTCCAGGAATGAAATCCTGGCCCTATTGAAGTCAATGTGAGTTTTAACATCAGTTTCAGTGGAGCCAGGATTTACCCTAGCTGCCTGCATTGTGCTGTGCTGTTATATCCCTGCTGATTGCGGCCACCTTCCCACTATTAATATGTGCTCTGCGGTACTGCCTCTCTCTAAGAATGAGCCAAACCAAAACCTTCAATCCAAACATGCCTGAATGAGAAGCTAATTGAAATCTGGGCAAAGATCTAACTTTTGCATCTCAGGATCATCTCTTAGTGCTCTGCCTTTTTCACGGGTTCCTATAGCAATGTCTCCCCCACCTCACCTGTGTAGACAGACCTGATATTCATACCATATTCATGGTTGTTTGTGCTGTTAACATCTCAGCAAGTTCTTGGGGTGGATTCTGAACATATGCAAAGATCTCGCTCCATCTATGCAAATATATGCACCATATAGTCAGAGAATGAGCTACAGTGAAGGCTGCAGTATTGGCATAACGAATGAGAGTTTTCCTTTTCTCTTTTGTGTTCTTGTTGCCATTGATGTTTATGACCTCTGATAATGTTAGCAGCTGAGGCTCTACTGAGCAATCATTTGGGTTATGGTTACAATTTATGACCTATTTAGTACCTTCTCCAAATGCAGTACAAAAAACTTCCCAAATTTCAAATTTAAAGAGTAGGATTATAAAAACCTTTTACAGGTAGTCTGTAACTATGTGCTATCAAAATCCCTACTGTCCTTTCTCAGAGCTGTTTTGCATATTAGGCTATGCAAATTACAGCCCCAGCGGTGCTATCTATTGGTGTGCCCCTGCTACTGGTTAATACAAATGACAGCCCCCAGAGGGACCATTTTTCTTCATAACATGATTGCTTTTGTCACGATAAAATAGGTACTATTAGTATTAATCAGACGGTTTTGGTAAATCCAGAAGCAGAAGGAGCTTTAGAGTGGATGTGAAGGTTTGTTTTTTTCCCCCTATAAACATGCAGAAATTCATTGTGATTCACGTTAAGCATTTTCTTTTGTAAATCTGCCAAAGGGGAAAAACTTTCTTCAAGGTACTTATGCTGAACTGTTGAGTCTTGATAATATAGTGAAAAACATTTCAAATCAATCAGAGCTGATGTAGCAGCTTAATCTACTTAGTGCATTTAGCTGGAAGGTTGTAGGCTGATACATAGATTACTATAACATGAAAGGCTAGATTAAGCATGGTTTTTATAAAGCTAAAATAAACATGTCTAGTGCTTTCGTATAGTCTGATATAACTTTTTTCTGCCATGCTGCTTACATGTCTAATGTAAAAATGAAGTTATAGCATAGAAGAAAGAGAACAGATCCATGGAGTCATTCCAGGTATCTATGTTGGATGCCCTTTGAGAGTCCTGGGGCTGTAAACAAGCTATGTATATAAATGAGTATATAACCTGTCACTATAGAATGGTGTAGTTTGTTATGCATGACCACTGTCAATTTGTGTGTGTGTTAGAAACAGTGAAATTTAAAGATAATTTTTAAAATAAATAGAGGCATGATTGAAAGTGTTTTCTGTGAAATGGAGTGCTGTTTTGACAAAAGCATTGTACACTTCCATAAAAAACGTAGTGAATTTTAGAATGCATTGCACTCATGCATTTTGTTATAACACAGTCTGACAGCCAAACCTAATATTCTCACCCACATTGTTATTAATGTCTCTTCATAACTGTCAAAATTCTGAACACCTGAACATATTGTCCAGAGGTCTTGGTAAGTCAGAGGATGGGGGGTCATGAGACCTAGACTCTGTTCTTGGCTCAGATTTCCCGTGTGACCTTGGAAAAGTCACAACCTCCTTGAACCTCTGTTTCCTCACTTGAAAACAAAGAGGTAAAAATATTTCACAATCTCACATGTTGTGAGGCTAAAAAATACTTAATTGTTCTGAAGTGCTGAGATACTGTGTTGCTAAGAACCATAGAAAGGCCTATGAATAAATACATGCCTACAGTACTTACACACCACATGAACAGTTTGTGGTGTGTAAGTACTGTAGTTCAGGCCCAGTATACAAAGCACCAGAGAAGTTACACTGAATAAAAAGAAGTTTATCATAAAATCACTACCTTACCTTCTTTAGCCAGTCTATAACCACAGTGTTCTCTAGAAGTTGGAGTCACTTTGTGCTGCTAGACGTGTTGCCTCCTACTGCTTGGAGAACATGAGGTGATTTAAAAGAGACACGGTGATGTACCAACTTCTGTTGGTGGAAGGGACAAGCTTTCAAGCTTCATAGAGCTCTTCCTCGGGCCACTTTAAAACATGAACTTCATTCATTTGTTGGCCATGTTCTGCAAGAGTGGAGGCACGGACTTTATTTAGGCTCTTATCTGGGTCTACCCTGTTTATATACCATCAAACTGAGCACTTCCTTTTTGTTTTTTGTGTACATTTCCTTGGATATAAAAAGTAGCCCCTCACAAAGTGACAGAAGCTGCTTTGTGAGTTGATATATAAGGCAGCGTGACAGAGTATATCCGCCCTTTGCGGCTCCACACAGGAAGCCCTGCAGTTCTACCATATCCAGACCCAGGAAAGGAGGTTGTCCAAGCCTGCTTAAGGAGGCAGCCAATCAGAGCCCAACAGGCTCAGATAAAAGGAGCTGTGGGACCTTAGCAGTTCAATTCCTGGTGGGGACCAGAAGGGCGAGGAAGTGTGCTCCTCTCTGGGCCAACAGATCTTGAGGGACAA